TTAAAATCTCAGCCTTTGCTTTCTTCCAGAGTACCGTCAAGGCTGCTTTATTTCTTAACTAGAGGGTGACAATGCCAGACATATGATTTTATGACACCAAATTATAGTTGTTGATTAAAACAGTCTTTCGATTCGGAAGTCTTGGCACAAAACAGTACTTTCAGTCATGAGCAAGTTTCATTTCATCCTTCAATGCTTTCTTGGCCGCTGTTGTTATCATTCTCACAGAAGGTAAGACTTGTTATCATTATTTTCTGTCCGGTCCGTGTTCAGAATAGGATCCATCAAAACCATAACAATGGTGAGATGGCGGAAGTTGACGCCCAGAATAAGGGTGACAGTCCTGTGAAAACGCATTTCGTCATCCTAAATTCTCTCCCAGTCAAAAGTAAATCCAAAGTGATTGAAAAAATTGGAGTACCAGGCGGTTTTACCTGGTCTTGTTCAATTTACATAGATTTAAACAAATTGGTCCAAGGAACGTGTTCAGATTGTTCAACACTCAATTTCACTTTCAGTTCGAGTTTACTTCAATGTCGGGCAATCGCCGCTATTTCCACGCAAACTCCATCTAACTGACTCAGACAAGGCTATCACTAATACGGATGTATACTGAATCACAGGTTAAAAAATTACAAACTTTAACTCTTAAGCTAAGCAATATTGAAAAATCAGCTGATCCGAATGCCTCTTTACAACAAACGTGGAAGAGAGGCTATGCAATCATGTCAGCGTCATACTGACCCACACATTTCCAAACGCTGTTTACATATCGTTTGCCCAATCTCCTATTTCATCATGACGAGCAATCTATCAGTTTAATCAGTTCCGAAATGTTTTATGTAGTTTTAGTGATCAGACAGAACTCGACCTTTTAAAGCAACATGATTGGTTTTGCCTCACAGCGTAAAGGACCACACAACAGGTATTGGTAAAGATTTAACTTTTACCTCAACTTTAGGTATAAAAAAGAACACATTTCTTACTCAAGAATCGTGTTCATCGGGGAGAATTATTCAGCAAAAATGGCTGTCTCATCTGTTGTGAAAACCAATTTTTTAAAAGGCGAAGTTGACTTTTCATTATGGAGGCGTGAACTGGAAACTACCAGAGAAAAGATCATTCCACCTGCCATGAGGTGCATTAAGAAAGACCGAGTAGTAGGGGTGTTATGGATAAAAAAAATTAATCTCCAGGTCATATTCTGTAAATCTGACTCTTTTCCTATTGAAAGTACGATTGATTTACATTTCACCGTTCTTGAGAGCCCTTCTATCCCGTAAAAAAAAGACAAAAAACCGAAGTTAAAAAAGGTCAAAACAAAAAAAGTATTTTTAAGAACTAATCATATCAAAATGTACCTTAAATATCAAGGAGTTAGCATTATGTATCACAGGTGGTATTTGTCTTCAAATAGTCTACAATTAGAGGCTTACTGTTAACGTGTATCTTATGAAAAATAGGGTCTCCTAGATTTAAACCACTCAACAGTCACAAGCAAACTGCACACTAAAGAACTCTCCGGTTTTTCACACTTTCACAGGCATGTATAATGCTTTCAAAAGCCCAACATTTCGAGATACACATATAGTTTTAAACAGTTTTGTAAAATTGTGTAAGTCTTTATTTACCTTATCAACTGGTACCAAGTTAAAGTTTTTACACACTTGTGAGGGGAGTGCAGGCTTAGACAAAGCAAAAGCATTTAAAAGAAATTAAACTGTATAAAATACTTATTCAACACACTATGACTTCGCATGAGATTCGCTGAACACGAGATAACCTAATTAATTGCATGCAAATGCAGCTTGAGCGTTTCAATAGTACATACAAGTCTAATGAATCTAAAAAGGCCAGAAAACAAGCTATTCATTTCTCGGTGTGGGAAGCTAAGCATTGGTAAATCACTCAAAGATGTCTCGGTGCGACCACTATTTGTTCAGTACTCGTTGAATTTCTTGTAAATTAACAACCTGGAAACATTTCCTGTGCTAAAGATTTTGGATTTCAACACACACCTAGCCTCGTTTGTTACTTAGTATGAGCTCAGAGAAGGGATTCTTCATTCGCTTGGGCTTCTTTTTTTTTTTCGATGAGTCTTAAACTAATAATTAGAAACGAATCAATCTTTTTGGAGCAAAGCTGCGACAAAGTAATATCACACTACAGTCGTGAAAAGTCCTTGAACTACTAAATTATTGTAGCTCGCCATTTCGCTCGGTGTTAAACTTAGTCAAGGTTTTCAAGGCCAACATTCCTTTGGTAAACTCAAGTTGTTTAACAAAGGGGTTAGTCCAAAAATAGATGGGACTAATGAAATTTTTGACGGATTAAAACCTACAGTTATCCTTTATGAGTCTGACTCCTGTGAAGAGCCATCCACAACAGAACTGCATTGCCCTGTTTTTTGTGTTTCATCTTCCTCAGAGGGTTCGTCAGAGCCACTCTCTGTGCTCTCAGACATGCTCTCGTCACTCTTTGGCGGAAGAGTTTTTAATCCTTCGAGCCGCTCCCGTGCTTCTCTCAGTTTCTCATCAAGTAACATTGCTTTTGCTTGCGCCTCTAGCATGTCCTTTTTAGCGGTTACCTGCTCATGAAGTTTAGTCTTTTTTGTCAAACTTTCTAAATAAGCACTGGTTTCCCTTGTTTTTGGCTGGTATCTTGCAAACCCTCTCGGTGAGGTTGGCTTTATATTCTCTGCACGAAGGCTATCTCGCTCCAGCCTCACGGCCCCGTACATCGCGTTCAGGTCATCAATCTTTTGTTTACTTTCCTCGAGCTCTATTTGCAGCGCTTTTATGGTATCAACAGTCTTTTCGTCCGCTTCCAAAATTAAGAGGCGTTGCTGCATTGTCTTTACCTTCTTTTCCAATTCTCTCTTTTCTTGCTGAATTTTCTCGTTGTTTTCTTTGAACATGGCCACCCTTTTGTTTAATAGCTGAATCTCTTTGTTCAGTTGGTCTTTTTCTATTGATGATTTTTTAAGCTCAGCAGATTTTTTGAATTCCTTGTCTTCCATTTGTTCTTGGGAGCTGTTTATTTCTTCAAGAAGGTTGTCGTAGGCAATCTTTAGATCGCTGTAGAGTTGACGAGTGGCAGACATCTCCAGCCTCAGCTTCTCATTTTCACCTTTCTCTTTTAATAGGCTGGACTCGAGCTCTCGTATTTTCTTTCTCAAAGCACCTAGTTCCTCTTCTATTTCTTCCTGCTTGTTCATCATAATGAGACATTCACCTGCCTTGACATTCAATTCTTTGGACGCTTCTGTAATTTCGTTTTCAAGCTCACGATTTTCTCTCTGCAGTTTCTTTATTACTTCATTTTTCTCTCTAATTTCCTTACCATCCGTCGCACGGTCGTGCTTTTCCTCTCTCAGCTGACTCTGTATCTGTTGCAGGTCCTTTTGCAGATTTGCGTTTTTCTCTTTCATTTCTGTGACTGTTAGATTTGCCTTCGCTTGTTCTCTAGCGGAAGCACACAGTTCTTCTTCAAGCGATGTGACTTTGTTTTTACAGGACTGCAAGTCTTTAAGAAGCTCATCATTACTATTTGCCTTTGATTTTTTTGCGCTCTCCAAATCAGAAACTCTCGAGAGTGCCTCCATTAATTCGTTCCTTTGAGAATTTAATTTACTTTGACTGTTTTCCAGGGATTTTTCCAACTGAGAGTTCTTTTGTTGTAGCCCAGTTAGTTGATCTTCTAAATGCATGATCGTCTCTTCGTAAGTGGAATTACATTCTTCTAATCCAATCAGAGCGTTTTGAGTCGAATTTAGCTCCACTTCCATTTCATTCATGGCCTTAGATACTATCTGCAGTTCATTTCGATCGAGTTGGGCGGAGTGTTCGGCTTTTCTTGACAACTGTTCCAGCTCAGTTATTCGTTTATCTTTCCAAACCATCTCTTTCTCTAAGGAATCCTTACTTGCAATGTAAGAGTTCATTTCCTCATCGAGCTGTAAGATTTTTTCTTCCAAACTTGTATTCTTATTTTGGATATTCTCTTTTTCAAGCGAAAGATTCTGACATGCATTTTCAAGTTCTATTAACTTCTTATGGCTGACCAGATCGGGTTCCGTTGTGTTGTTAGGTGTCTGCGACTTTTTCAGCGACGGACTCTTTGGAACTTGAAGTTCATTTAATTTTCTCTGCAACCTTTCGTTCTCATGTCGTAAAGCCTCTAACTGGACTTTTTGTTCTGAAGAATTTCTTTTCAAGTCATTCAATTCGTTTTTGAGGCTTTGTTTTTCCTCTGCAATAGCGGTATTTTTAGTCCGAAGTGCCGCAATAATCGATCCTTGAGAGAGAAACTCGCTGTTCAATCTTTTGACTTCTTTTTGAGCGTTGTAGAGGAGGGTTTCCTTTTTATTTGCGTTTTGTTTTAAGTCAGCCACATCAGACTGCAATTTATTGTTTCTCTCCTTGATTTTCAAAATACTGTACTCAAGCTCGGAGATCCGATTGTCCTTCTCTCGGATTATCCCGTTGAGTTTCTCTTCCCCTTCTTTGAGCCTCTCTCGGGTTTCCTTAGTTTTCAAAACTTCACTCTTCAGTTCGCTTTCCAAAGTGTTTTTCAGATTTTCTAAGAGTAACACTTGGGCATCCTTTTCCGACATTGCTTTCTTGTAGTCTTCGATTCCACCTTTGAACTGGGACAAATTCTTCAAAACGTTGTTGTACTCCTCTTTAGCTTCGGCCACTTTGAGACGTTCATTCTCTAACTCCTCTCGCAAGGTGGCAATGTCCTTCTGTTTCTGCTGAACTTGCTGTTGAAGTTCCTTGATCACTTTCTGA